CGGTGAGTGCCCCGGGCCAGAGGCGGGGGGTGGGAGCTCCGAGGAGATGCCAGTGCTGGTAGGAGGTTCAAAACGCAGCCCAGAGTCCAGAACTGGGTCCTGGTTCCCGCTCTCCCCTCCCTCAGGCTGTGATTTGGGTCGTTATGGCCTCTCTCTGGACCTCAGTCTCTATAGCTTATAAAAGTAACAGGTTGGGCCAACTGACTTCTCAGCCCCTTCCAACTCAGAGTCAGTGAGTCTGTGAAACCTCCTGGCTGCCAGCTCACCTGCCACCTCCTCCGTGAAGCCCTCCTGACTCTTGCAGCCTAGAGCAACATCCCTCTTCTGAATTCCCACCCTGCATTTTCACAAAAACACGAACAGCCCTGGATTGTTTCTGTCCAGTGCTGGGCGTGTGCTGTCCCTGAGAGCTCCTGGGGGCAGCACCCAGGCCTTGGAGCCTCTGTGCCTTTGCCGTCTCCCTTCGGCAAGTCCCCTCCATTCAGCAAACAATCCTGAGCACCCAGGGCAGTGACTGGGTGCCTGGACTGTCCTGGGCGCTGGGGATGTGACCGTGAACCAGACAGACAAGGGGCTCCCCACATGGAACTCCCCTCGTGGAACAGACAGTAGCCACGTAAACACAGAAGTGAAGAGATCGTTCCGGAGTGTGTACGTGCGGCCTGAAGGCGAGAGCAGGGGAAGGAGCAGCGAGCCATGGGCTGGGGTGGCAACGCTCAGCTGCGGGTCAGGGAAGGCCTGTCCAGGGAGAGAACTGAGTGAAGATCTGTGGAGCAGCCCGGGTGCTTGTCTAGCATCAGGCACGCAGGGGGCCACCTGCCCGTGACGCTCAGGGGCAGGGGAGGCCCTACGACAGCCGTGGGCGACTCAGCATCCTCCCCGACCCATCGCCAGGTTTCATAGGGAAGGGGATGCTGACGGGGGTCATCGCGGGAGCTGTGTTCACCGCCCCGGCCGTGGGCAGCATCCTGGCAGCCATCAGGGTAGTGGCCCAGGCGGGCACAGGTACGCTGGGGTGCAGGAGGGGCTGCTGCCAGGCAGGGAGGCCGGGAGGGGGTGAGGGCAAGCACC